ATTTTGGTGATAATTTTGTCATTTTTGGTAAAAAGTGATATTTTCGACTTCTTGTTAAAAACTGTAAGTCCGATTGCTTTGATACTATTCATATTGTTCATTTTCTAATGATGTCTTCAGTTCTTTAATTGAAATGTGCATTGCTAACAGCGGAGCTATCTCAGCCGATAGGCTGCTTGTTTACATATTCGCTGATGTACGATACAAACAAACCGGAAAACCTTGCAGAATTGGACGTACGGAAGCATATAAGGTATATTATGTTGTCTATTTAAAATTACATGTCTTGCACTAAAATATATTATTGGTATGCATATCTCATCTATTGTGATCATTTAATTTTTATTCATGCACATTTTCTTATCGAAGGCCATGCTGAACTGAGAGAATATTAGAGCTACAAAAAAGGAATGATAACATGTTTAATTTCTTTATTTCAGCATAACACTGATGTTATCCTACAGTGTGACAATCAACCCAGTGATCAGTGCCTGTTCATCTATTCAACAGCCCAAAAACAACTGGATTGCTAATGGCATATTCAAATTGGTTCTTGAGTTTTTTCAGCTGTACACCATTTACTCTGGCAGAGTCATTCCATGCCCTATTCCTTAACAAGTAACAAACTACCTCCAGAGATGTATTTCAGCAACGGTTTAATATCAACCCTAATATGTAACTGTCAGTTCTCATCGACAAAGAGAAAGTCATAAAAAATGCCATGGAATCATATTCACTATGGTTACGAGATGTTTTTATCACTTATATATTGCAAAGTGATATCAGAGCGTTTTCAAGTCCATCTGTATGAATCTGACCCTGATTTCTCTATGTCCATCTCTTACGTTTCGAAAGTCATCAACACCTTTTACACGCTAGCACAAAATATGCCAGACAAAGCCAAGCAAATAGAATGAAGTCAAACATAGGAACATACCATCTAAATATATGGCCATACCATTCAAATATATGGTGATTTCTTGAAAGTCTGAGTGCAGTCCCTCTGTCACCAATATCAACAGCATCGTTGCATTGACTGAAAATTTCAGACTTGATGTTCAGTGGTGGTGTGACTTCCTACCATCCTGGAATGGTTCCGCTTCATTCTTAGAGTCCAACTGGTCACCTGCTTCGAAGCTCGAACTCTTCACAGACGCATCAGGTTCTATTGGTTGGGGCGGCTTCTACATTGGCCATTGGTTTACCATACCATGGCCAGCATATTTTCCAACATCCATTGAATGGAAGGAAATGTATCCTATTCTCATCGCTTGTTCAATTTGGGGGCATTCCTGGCATGGTCAACGCGTACTGTTCCACTGTGACAATGAAGCCATCGTTAACATCTGGAAGAAAGGATCAACACGATGTTCAAATATCATGCGCCTTGTTCGGGCAATCTTCTTCGTTGCTGCAAAAGGGAACTTTCATGTTATGATCACCCATATTAATGGCGTCAATAACTCTATTGCCGATTCACTTGCTCGTTCACAGATGCAACACTTCAAGCAACTGGTTCCAACAGCCGACCACGCCGCTACTCCAATTCCACCCGATCTACTCCCAGAGTGCATCATATCTCAGAACTACCAGCCGCACACCGAAGTACACAAGCTCTAGCAGCACAAACACATTTGTACATGCAATGCAGCATCACAGACTCAACCCGTCGAACATACCAAGTCGGCCAAAACCGCTACCACAACTTCTGTGACCTATACTGGCTACCAGCATACCCAGTCACACCACAAACAACCATACTATTCCCCACCTACCTAGCGCAGACTGTCATAACGTACAAAACCATTAAGGTCTAACTGGCGGCCATTATCCATCTACACACTAACTAAGGTCAACCAGACAAAATCTCGGACAACGTACAGTTTCAACGTACACTACTTGGCATCAAAAGGTCATTAGGGGACACCAAGAAACCACGACTATGAACATCACTATGAACATTCTAAGACGCCTGAAAGAATCACTCCAAAAACACCCGTTCATCCACACAAATGACAAACTCATACTATGGTCAGCATTTACGGTTGCCTTCTTTGGATTCCTAAGAGCCAGCGAATTTACTGTAACGTCGCCTCAGCATTTCGACAAAACCAAAACTTTACTGATTGAAGACATAACATGTGCAATTGAGCTACACATCCAGTTACGTGCCTCCAAAACAGATCCATTTCGTCATGGCTGCATCATCAAAATTGCGCCTACATTCACCTCAGTCTGTGCCGTTCGTGCGTACACCAAGTATCGCAGCATCTGTGCCCCATCACCCCAAACGCCTGCCTTCCAGTTCCACTCATGGAGTTGGCTTACACGTCAAAGCCTAACTACCCACTTGCGTGACCTGTTGACTAGAGCTGGGATCCAAAATCCACGCCTGTACACAACCCACAGCTTCAGACGAGGGGCAGCAACAACCGCAGCAGAAGCGAATGTGCCAGATTGGTTAATCAAGACTCTAGGAAGATGGCGAAGCGACGCATACCAAGTGTATATCGACACACCTTCGTCAACGCTACAAGACGTGCCTCGAATTCTCTGCGGACATTCATCTTAGGCGCCGCCTCCTACTACCTGTGGATTCTCAACCTCACGTGACTCTCACACTGGCATCTCGTTTGCCACATCCACGTACTTGCGTTATGCCGTGGTGCCATTTTCTAACTTTGTACTCGCTCATTATCACCTCGTTACATTTATTTACATGAACTATATTTCGCGTTAGACATTTACCTTGACACGTTCGTATCATCTATTTCACTTTCAGTCGTGTCGACCACCTCTTGCATTTTATATATCACGAGCAACATCACAGTTATGTACTTTAATGCCACAACATATATTTATACCGATTCCTCGGCTTGCTTGTCGCTGCGCCATTCCCGGCCATCTCATAATTTGGGGGTTGTCATCGCAGTGCATGCGGGTACCACTCGATTAACACGCTGCCATTCTTCGTGAATAGAATCAAACATGCGACTCTGTGCACAGAAATGGTATCCGCAACGACGGTCGGGTGGTGACCCCTGTGTTGACTGGCCTCGATCAAGTACCATGCTAATCTCTCCATGATGTGAATCAAATCTGCGACTCACATCACGGAACAGGTTTCAGCGACGACGCTTGACCGTGGCTCACACCCCTTCTGCTCTCAGCCAAGAATTGGTCTCTAGTGTCGTTTCTTAGCATTAACCAAAAGTTTGCAGGAAAATCAGCACCATCACAGTGGCGACATTACAAAGATTCAGCTGCAAGAATATCTACTATATATAAAACAGGGAAATCAACATATACTATATTTCTTAGGAGAATAACCCGCATTTTAAAGTTTTAAGTGATTGGAAGGCTAAGAATTGTAATTTTCAAATAAAGTGACACACTAAATTTGTTCATTGTATTTATCGCTGAGTTGTTGAGTAGTATTGGCTGGTCTATTATTTGTGACTGGAGGAGCTATCAGTGCCATTTGTATTATTTGACAGGGCCAACTTCTTTAGTGTCACTAATATATCAGTAAACAACAAGATTGCATAAGCATCAATGTTGTCCCAGGTGATGGACAGTGCTTTCAATGCGAGTGCCATCTGTCAAGACAAGTTTTTTGGACGTTCAGCAATGTGGCAAAAAGATGAATGAATTTGTTAGGAGATCTATCTGCCACTCAATACCCCAAAAGTTTTAAATTTGTGATAATCTGTCAACTATGGTGTCCCCCTGATGTGCTAGTGGTGTTTGTAGTTGTCACATCTCCTATTCTCCCTGTCACCTCTCGTGCAGTATAGGGTCAAGGGTGTATCAAAGTGTATAATGGACTGTAGCCATGGCTCATTGCTGCTCAATGTTCATTTATATTTATACAGAAAGAGGCTGTAACACGTCTGGATGAAATTAATGATTTTTTGTCAAACATAATTACCCACAAAATAGCTGTGAAAATCGAGGCCCTTTATGCTATCAACAATAAGGTCCCAGAAGTGGTTTATTCCATCGATGGCGGCGATGAGAAGAGTGGCAGTATTTCATTGCTTAAAGATAAACTCCAGAAGATTTTAAAGTCGGATTGGTTCAGGTATGAAGTTAACTGCAAGTGGTTGGAGTTCGAACTTCAACTGAAAACCACAGTTGCTGATACAAAGAGGCCTATTAAAACAATCAACGAGGCCCGTGAGCTAGCAAATGATATTGACATGAATGAAGAGGACTTTAACAAGGCACTGGAGTTTTACTACAGTATTGGGGAGATGGTCGCTCTGGAAGGGGAAGTTGGTATTAAGCCGGAGTGGTTTGAAGAGTTGTTCAGGATTGTTATCACCTGCGCATTGGATAAACATCTTCCCCCAAAACAAAAATGTTTCCTTAAAGTCTTACAAGAAGATGGTAAATTGAGCGAAGAGCTTTTGAATGAAGCATTGGAAACAAAGGAGAGGCGAGAAGATAAGAGTATCTTGATTGAATTATTCAAGGAGTTTGATATTATTTGTGAAGTAAAACAATCATCACCAGTACAACCAGGCAAGCGAAAATTTATAATGCCATGTATGCTGACCAGCAACACATCTATTCTTCAAGATAAACCCAACACAACAACAAGTCCTACTCTGCATTATCATTTTCCAGATAATTTTCTTCCGAATGCAGTTTTCCATCAGTTAGTGGTGAGGTGTGCATCTGTTTGGTCAGATCAGCCGGTGTTATACAAACATGCAGCACAGTATTATTTGAACGCCACGACTATCATTACTATAAAGAAGGAAGGTTCTGACATAGTCTTGAATGTGACATTTGAACATGACGATCTGCAACACTGTGGTCCAGAAATCAGAAAAGCTGTAGATGATAGCCTAAACGTAATCATCAAGAAATACAGGCCTGGTTTATCATATAAGCACAGTTTAAAGTGTCACTGTGGTAAACATGATCCGTCAAATACTAGAGAAGATGATGGATGTGTTGTCTTTGGCTCCTCGAAAGAAGATGAGTGTTCTTGTACTACACAACGCCGATGCCCTAAAGGGAATCTATTTAAACCTCATGACTTGTCATTCTGGTTTAACACAACTAATCCTAGTAAGTATGTTTCTTTTATTAACACCAAAATCTTGGGATAACCATAACTCTTGACAAAGTGTAAGTTGCATTCCCAATTTGTGAAATCATCTCTTAATCAATTCATACAAATATTATGAATGAATAATGAGAAATTAGCTGCAATCAAGTGAGCCTGCTAAATTAAGCTATACATGCAAACAATAGACACTCACTGACTTAGGAAGCTTTGTTTGTTCTTATTTTTTTATGTAAAAGTGTTTAACTTGTTCTGGGATTGATGTTTCACACAGAGTGGGAATGTAAATTGAACTTCTAACATTACAAGTTACAGTGATGTAATTGAAACATTTTATAACATTGGACACTGGTTTGTTCTGTCAATCAACAAATGTTAGCAATTAAATGTTCTAATCATGGTGTCATATTGTCAATAGTGTTTATGTTAAACCAAAACACCCATTATTATTCAATATTTTCACCACACAATTTCATAATTCAATACAATTAGTGAGTAAGGATGATAATTACTGGTGAACAACATGCACATGATTAAGGATGATAATTTCTGGTGTACAACATGCACATGATTACAATACAAATATCAGTAATGTGTATTTTTCCCAAACTTATGAAGGGAGAAAGTTGACTTTGACATTCATTCCTGTATTAGATGACACAATATCTTTTGTAACAAGTGGAGTACCATGTAAAGAATTGAGGTGTAAATTACCATGTTTTCTTATGCATCTTGACCTGATATAAATAAATAAATATATAAGTGAATAACCAAACAAATAAATGAATAAATTTAAAATGTTTTGTGAAATGTAA